ATATATATATATATATATATATATAAATAGTAATGTTTTTTCCCTTCAAACTTTATTCTTCATTATGGTACGGAATTTCTTTTTTTATTTTTTATTTTTTTGATATGCCAACCTTTCCTATACTTGTGTTTTGGTCTTAGAGAGAGAGAGAGAGAGAGAGAGAGAGAAGGAAGGGAATTTCATTCTTTTGGGGGAGACACTAACAAATTGACCATGACAAGCAAAAAGAATGTATCCTCTATACTTTGCTTTTTTGAATATGGCTTTTGAGAATGATGAATTAGATGATTTTGAAGTGGCTGCAGTCTATGCACAAAAGAAAGATATCCTGTGAGGATTGACAAGTGGAGATGTGGTGTGAGATTACAAACATGCCATTGTTTCTTTGATGCATGACAATAATATAGATTTGAGTTGATTATTTTGGTTTTGAATATAAGTAATTATGGCTGAAGTAGATAAAGGCCTAATTCTATCATATGGGTTTTGAAAGTCTGAAGTATTTTTTTGTAACAAGTTGATTATCATTTATACATGTAAAAGGGCATGCTGTGTGTGAAATGAGATGCAACTTCTATTTGCCTCTTTATATTATTCCAAGGACTTACCCTGTGTTCTAGTAAAGTGAATATACAGTTTATACTTGGTGGATTCTAGGTGGTGTAGTAGAATGCCCTAGCCATTATTTTTATTTTTTTCCATCATGCATGTCTTCTTGACTCAAATCCCATTCCTCTTTCCAATGTCAAATCTTATGCACAATCTTTATGCCTATGGTTTATTCCTTCCATGTTATGAAGTGGCATTCTAAGATTGGTTAATATCTTGTGCCATTCTTTCTTGCACATTGAATCTTGATTCCTGCCTTTGTATATTATTTAGGTCTGGGGCACTATCATAATGCAGAAGAGATATCGAGGACCTGACTATTTGTTGGCCTTTGTAGTAACTCTTGGCTGCTCAGTGTTCATCATGTATCCCGTAATCATTTGTAACCCTAGTTTTTGTTTTTCTTTCATCATTCGCTTTGTATGTTATTCTTTTCTATTTAGAACCAACTATGAATGTTCATATGCTAGTGTATTAGGTTTGTTAAGTGTTGGTTTTAAGAAGGCTGCATGCAATATTTTGTTCCCAAGATCAGGATGAACAAGTTTTCACATTCTTCTATATTTAGATGTACCAAAGCAGAGAAAGAATGGTGCAGACTTGTCAAATCCCATATGAAAATTACAAGTCCGCTTATTCTTTGACACATAGATATGTAACATGGGATCCAAAATTCCACTCATACACTTTTAATAATTGAGTAGTTAACTGTAGACTTGCCTTTGGTATTTTGACTTGCAAGTCTAACCAGAATATATTTTTTATCAACTGATTGGATCATTTCTATAACAAATGTTGTTTTTTCTCATTTTCCATTGAGTAAGCATTTTGTCACAGATATTGCTTCCTTACTCTGGATTGCTCATGCTGCTGAAGATACATAAAAAATATTGATAATCTGGCAGCCTTCTGTAATAAGCTGATGTAATTTTGTGTGTTGTCATTGTAGGCAGGGACCGACATAAGTCCATATGGTAGAGGAAGAGAAAATACTGTTTGGGGCGTTTTGCTAATGATGGGTTATCTTGGGTATAACTACAAAACTTGATCCCTCTTTCAGTGATAAGTGATTTTAAGTGTTGTCACTAAAATATCAAAAAATCAGTGCTACATTCACCCATTCTGACATGCAAGATTTTTAATGTCAGATTATTGTCATTGTTAGGAAAGCATCTCGCCTACATATTAGCTCAATACTTTCCTGCATATAATTTTTCTTTTGTCCTCTTTCAAAGTCTACGGATTTATTGAACAGCTGATTAATTATTTCAACTTCTTTTTTGTTGACTTGTAGAAAATGGTTATTTGAAGCCACATTATATTATATGGCTAAAACATCATTTTGTAACACTTTGTAGTTGGTGCATTCTTGCAGATTCTTAATTGTTCAAATTGAGGCTAGCATTACAAATTTTATGCTCTCGACAATTTATTTTAAGCATTTAATTTGTCATAAAAATAAATTCACGTGCTAGTCTTTCTTTAAATCACATACCGAGTTTTATTTTGGTCTAACAGGTGTGACGGCTTTACAAGCACATTCCAAGATAAGCTGTTTAAAGGCTATAACATGGAGATACATAATCAGATATTCTATACTACTTTGTGTTCTTGTGTTCTTAGCCTGACAGGTAGGTCACAGACAGTGAAATTTCATTCAGAACATTTGTCTTTTCTCTGATGAGCATTTCTTGATCTGCATGTCTCCATTTTTATTTTCTCAAATTTTGTTTCTTTTCCGGCTTCATGGTTGGATTTGACATCTGATATTTTTGTTTAGGTCTTATCATACAAGGACATTTATTACCAGCAATAGAGTTTGTTTATATTCACAAGGATTGTTTCTTTGACATTGTATTGCTTTCTACCGTAAGAAAACTTTCCCTTCTGCCTTGAATTTTACAATTCAGTGTTGATAATTTGCTCCCCTTTCTGTTTTAATTGAGCTGTGAAATCTACAGTGTTTTTGCCTTTTATTTTTTAAAAGAAATATAAAAATACCCCTTCTCCATCTTCCATTTCACTAAAGAAATTCTTCATGATATCAACTTCCACAGGTTGCAACAGCTAGTCAATTTTTTATTTCCTACACAATTCGCACATTTGGTGCTCTAACATTTGCTACTATAATGACAACAAGACAGGTAACTATTGCTGACAAATGTTATAAATTACATTTTCCTTTCATTTTTTTTTTAATTTGTGTTTTCCATCTTTTATTTTATTTCTAAATGTGTTGCAGTTAGTAAGCATTATGCTATCATGTGTGTGGTTTGCCCATCCTCTTAGCTGGGAACAGTGGATTGGAGCTGTAAGACTTGCTTGTACCTTTATTGAACATCATAATGAAATATATCATGTTACACTCTGTCTTGCATCACACTCATTGTTTCTCTACCGCTAGATCACAACTGGTCCCCACTATACTTATTTTGAAACACCATGGTAGCTCACACACTAGATGTGACCTAATATTCTTGTTGAATTATCAGAAGCCTATTAACACCAGTAAATTTATCAGGTAATTGTCTTTGGCGCCATTTATGCCAAAAGCTTCATGAGAAAAGCACCTGAAAAGACAACCTCTTCTGTAGAACAATCTGTACAAAATGGAAATTCAAATAACTTAAAGGAGAACCCATGATGATGGAGGCCAATGCCTTTGCTGACCTGTCACGGTACAGCTTCAGTTTTGACAGAGACAACCCCTAATTTGGCATCCCAATGATAACAATGAAGAACATGATAGGAGCTTAACCCCTCATTTTTTGATAGGGGAGATCAATAATTGTGATCAAAGCCAAAAGAATGTTTATAAATTGAAACATGTTTCAATGTGTTTGCTCAAGCAAGGTTGTTTCTTGGTTGTGTTTTGTTAAGGACAGGACAGAAGGCTTGTGCTAATTTCTGGGGTCGTCATTCAGTCAGCACCAAGGGAATTTTTGTTCTTAAGGTTTTAACCAGAGAGGAAAGATTTCGGAAGACACAAAAAACTAATTCGGATATATTCTTATTATGAGCATTATAATCATAATTGAATTTTTATGCAGTTGTGTTTATCATTAGTATCTATGATAATTTACTTCATTTGGACTCATGAGTATATGACACACCACGATAGGAACTCCAAGGTCCAAATAGAATTAGCTATTTAGAATAACCAGAAGTTATATTTTATATTTTAACAAAGTCGACGTTATTTTAATTAATAATGATGGAATTGGCGAATCGCTAACATCGGCGCTTAAAATTAAATAAAAATGATGAAAGTATAATAAAATTATTAACAATAAATAAAACGTAAAAAAAATGTGTAATGAATGCTTTTTTAATAACAAAAAAAAATAGTTCTAGTTGCAATCAATGTTTTTTTTTTTTTTTGTAGATATTTACAATCGAATTTGAGTGATGTTAAAAAAATAGTTAATTATTTAATTATTATTATTTTGGTTTAAATGCATTTCCTCACCTATCATATTTTTATGATTTTAGTCTTTGAATTTTAATTGAGTTAATTAAGTATCTGAATACGACAATTGCCTTATTTTAGTTTGTATGTAACGTGGGACTGACAAATGTGATATATGAGAATAAGAGAAAAATAATTAAAAATGTTAAAAGTAACATTTGAACTCTTTATTCGTATCTTCAACAACACTTAATTATTAAATTAATACATTATGAAAAAAGAGTATTCACCTATATGAAACTTTACTTATTTTACAAATAAGTAGTTTAAACTTTAATTTTATTCTAATAAATTTTTAAATTTTAATTTTGTTTTGATTAATTTTTAAACTTTTTTTTTTAAATAAACACTTAAACTTTAATTTCATTATAATTGATATTTACAATATGTATTTTTACAAAATAGTTTTTTTATTATCAATTTAAAGTTAAATTATTTATCTTAAACATCAATCATTTATTAATATTTTTTTCTTTTTTTGTTGTAATTACTTTTCAAATATAAAGTTTACTTTAATACTAGTTTGTTGCAGTTGGATTGTTATTTTAAAAATAGCATTCCTATGAAATATTAGTTTTTGAGAATAGTTTTTACATAGGTTTTCTATAAAAATATTCTCATGTGTATGTGAAAAATTAACTTTCTTGAGATTAAGATAAAATTTTAATGTGGTAAAAATGTCATGTTACCTTTTTTTTTAATTATTTAATGCAATAAAAATTCTTGATTCTTAATTAACATTTATAAACATTCTAAAAAATTATTTATGACTAAATATATATATTTTACCATTCTTAAGAATCAAAATTCTAAAAAATTATGATTTAATCATAACTCTTATGTATGAAAAAAATTATCATATATCAAACATCCCCTTAAGTCTGTTGGGTTTAAATGAGGGGATGAAAGAGGATGGATTTTAATGGAATAGATGGAAAGAGTTAAAAAATTTGTTTGATTGAGAGGAGGTAATTCTTCTTTGGTTAAAGGAGAGGGAAAAAGTTTTAAGAACTAATTTACTTTTGTATCTTTTATAATTTTAAATTTAATAACAAATAAAATATTTTGGATATTATATTAGAAATATTTTAAAATCCATCTCCTCTCCTCCAAATTCTTCTCAATATTGGAGAGGAGTTAAAATTGAGTTAGGAGATTTTGCTCTCCTTTCTTCCTAAAAATTGAACCAAAAAAAGATTTTTTTAAAAAAAAATCTCTCCTCTTCACTCCATATCCCTACACTAGGTTAAATAAGAGAGGTTGTATTTCGGATTAAGGTTGAAAAACCAAACAAAACAAAGAGGACAATTACACCAAAAGGTATACCAGAATTTGTATATGCTCATATTTTTAAATTCTTTGCAGGGAGGAAACCTTTCAAATAAGTAAAACATAAATCCCTGATACGCAGTTACACACCTCGAGGAGGTTTGCAATACTTCAAAAAGCACAAGAATAAAAGAGGAGGACAAATCCTTGAAACAAAATTTTAAATGTTTTTCATCTATCTTTTTCTACCCTTATTTTTTCTGTTTGAAACTTCAACCCATCCATCATCTGCTTCACCTGAAACCTTTGGCAGAGGCCCATTTACTGGCCTGTTCACTGAATTCATGTTTGAGTCAGATGTTGGAATTTCTAGATTCATGTTTGAAGAATTATCATCCACGATCATGTTTTCATCATTATCATCATCTTGATCTGTATCGTCTTCATCATCATTTACAATCTAGCACATCATAAATGTCGTAACATTATTATTACATTAAAATTCAAGAGAAGTGAACTGTAGAAGATCATTCAACTGTTACTTAGGCCATATATAAACAAATGATAAATGTGTATACATCAACTAAACACGCTCAGTAAACGTGTAACAAATTGGCAATTATCATAATCTAGTCCCCGCCCATGTTAGGGGATCAAAAGAAAAACTGTTCACATTTTCCAGGGACGGGAGAACAAACAAAGGAGGTTTAAGAACTGGTGTATAGTATAGAGTAAAAAAGAAATTGTAGGAATATAAAGTGGGATTAAGTCCAGACACGAAGCAGTCCCTGTTTATATTATATTTCATAACTTCATCGAGTTTTAAAAAAATCATAACTTTCATCAGATTTATCAACATCACTCTGCACACAAGCAGCATGGTAGGTTTTGCCTTATTTCGAATTTAGAGAAATATAATGATTCTGGACTTATTTGTGTTCTGTAAATATATTCCATTATTCCAACTTGTACGACATAAAACAAGGATAAAACAGAAATACTAGAAGTACCCAAATAAATGCAAATATTATTGGTTGGGTCTGAGCAAGGGTCAAGACTTAAAATTGACGGGTAGTTTGAGAGGCTAGAAGAGAGGCACTACATGACATTGTGCATTGAGTGAGCCACACAACACTTATAAGAGTAACGGCAAAGTATCATAAAGGTGTAAAGGCCATTTCCCTTTCACGAGGATGGATCTATTCTGGTTATAAAAACAGTAAAGTTCCATGCTGGGCATATTGTGGCTGTAATTTACCTGCGTTACACGAGGATGGGCAGCTTGCTCAAGATTGGCTTTCCTGAGATCTTCGAAAGAACTAAAATTACCTTCTAAGAATTCTTCGTGCATAATCATTAGTTTTTCAGCTACCTACATAATCATGAATATGAAAAATAAGAACAAGTGCACATTGGTCACATTGCAAAGCATATATATATATATGAAGAAAAAAAAACAAGTTACTAGAAATGGAATATACAAAGCACAAAATATATTTGTAACTGGGGCCCGTGAAAATTAATATGATTCAGCACCTGAGACATAATTTAAGTTTGTCCATGTAACATCATATGGATACCAGAAATGTATTTAAAGCTGTTTCTTTTTCAATAAATGCATCCAAAGCAGTAGCGTTTAGGGGTACTAAAATCCTTCAAAAGAAAAATAAAAAATACAGGTAAGGAAGGCAGGCTTTTCAAAAAAGATACTGATACATGATAATGATTTGCATACAAAATTACTATACCATGTATCTTCTTTTCAAAAACTGAAAAAGATATTGCCTTGAAGTATGCTTAAAAAGGGGAGGAGGCGAGTGTAATGTCAACATAAACAATATTATCTCCTTCAACCTAATTGCAATATAGTAAAGAATGATATCTCAAACCTTGTAACCATGTATATACTAAATAGAAAAGATGTTAGTGGAGTTCAACAACAACTAATCATTAATGCAACGGTTTGAGGCCATCAAATTCAAAAGGAAAATTTATACCTCTTCAACGCTGCCATCCTCGACCTCTACATTGAGAGAAAGCATACCTTGATCCAGTAAGTCTTCTAAGTCATCAATATAAAGTGGCTCTGAACAGCAATAATAAAATAAATAAATAAATCAAAACAGATTTTCCACTACACACAATCGCTTTTTACAGTAATGGTGTTTTAAACAAAAGTGGTGAAGGTTAAACAAAAGTGATTAGTTGTGTTAAATGATATACCTTTGGATTGAGTGAACCAGGACAGTATCTCACACGCAAGTTGATCGGCTTTAACACGGGACTCCCGGCCACCCCATTCATTCTCAACAGCCGTTTGAAGAGCCGACCAGCGAAATAAAACTAAACCAATCCCTTCACTGAAAACTCCTATAGACTGTCCTTGAAGCCGTCGCGAACCCTCCATCCTTCTTTCAAACTCTCTCTCTGGTTCAATGTGTCACCAGAACACAACAAACCGTTTTATCCAAAGGGACCTGCATGAAGCATGGCCGATTGATGAAGACATACTTATAGGGAATATGAAAACCGCATATACGTGAAACTAGTATACCGGTGTAAGTCTATCTGCATATTGTGCAGTACTATTATTTTACAGATTTAATTAGGAGGCATTCGGTAAAAGAATTTTTTTTTTTTTCATGTCCGGGAATCACAAATCATAGGAATTATAACTCAATAAGAATGATTAAAACCATTTGGTTGACCATAAATGTTTGAGAATATTTGTAAATGTTACCTAAAAATCAAATATTTTTACCACATTAAACTTTTCCTTCTAATTTAGAAATGTTAGTTTCTTACCTCCCACACAAATAATTTTGTAAGAAACATCTGTAAAAAGCATTATTGGGAATGTTTCCAATAAATGTTATTTTTTAAATAACAAACCAACCATCAGAAAATAACATTTCCAACTTCACATTCTTGAGAAAGTATTTCCGTATACCAAAAGCCTTTATACAAAGAAAAATATTTAAAGAGGAAACAAAGTTTAAAGAATAAAGATCAAGGAGCACCTGCCCTGTAAAGGATTTATTCAAAAGTCAAAGTTAGTTATATTATGCTGCTACATCAAGACATGAAGGAGACAATATACAAAAATAATTCAAACAGAAATGATACATCTATATGCAGTACTCAAGGACCAATAAAAAAATTGAAAAGCATTGGCTCCTCGACAGGAAAAAAACAGATAAAAAAACAATTATGCTAAAAATCAACTGCAAGTTTTCTCTGGGATCCTGTCTGTGCATTTCTCCCTAATATTCTGTGTGAGAGGAAAAAAACTATTATAACACACATCAAATACTTAATTAAACTTTAATGCATAATCATATATAATCATAAGTTGAGTTTGGCATCTTCATTGAGACATTCACAGAAACAGGGAAACTGCGAAATTAGAACCAGTGGATCAGAAAATAACTCACAGAAGCAATAGCACTGAACAATAGACTGCGGAATTGAGAAAACAGAGTGTCAGAGACGACCGCAGACGTGGCGGAGAAGAGCTCCGGTGCGGTGTTCGTGCAGCAGTTTTTGGCCGGAGAAAGGTAGAAGAGGACGCAGCGATGCCAGATTCATGGCGTTGGGTTAGAGAACCTTGTTTTGGGGGCTTGGGTTTTACGGGCTTGGGTTTCAGAAGCCCAAAACGAGAAAGAAAAAAAAAACTTGACCCAAAAACATGAAAGTTGACCCAAACCTAATCTTGGTCTTTCAAATTAGCATGTGCTATATACAGTAGTGTTTGAAGAATAATATATTTTTGTAATTTAAAATTTAAGTTATAATGTTATATATCTTTTATTCTGTTTTAATTTAATTTTTATTTAAAAAATTTAACAGTGTTGACCAATTTTTTTTTTTCCTTTATTGGACGTTGGATAAGTTTCGTTGGTGGTTGCACGTTTGGTTTTATCTCTGCACATTTCTTCTTTTGCACGTTAATAGTTTTCGGTACAGTGGCCATATTTCATCATTTCATGTCATACTATATCTGATGCAGAAATATAATTGTGCAAAAAGATAATTGACAATAAGAAAAAAATTTATTATTAAAAAATTTATAAAGAAAAATTCTCAATATATTATTTAATAATTTTTCATAATTTTTAAATTTGAATAAATTTTAACTGATTTAGAAAATAGTGTATTAGAAGATTATAAAAAAAGTGCGTTACTAGTTAATAAATATCAAATTCAAACAAAAGACAAGGTAGTGTGAAAGATACTTCCTTATATTATTACACTAAACTTTTTTTTTATTTATCAAACTCTAAACCTATGTTGCATGGACATGATATACGACTGTTGTGTTCTTGAGTTTAACACTTTTTAGGAGTGTACATATCGTAGATGCACTTTGTACACTTTGATAGATTGTGGCAACATAAATTCGACACGTCTCTATCACGGACACCTACAAAATTGATGTGTCTTTATTGTGGATACCTATAAAATTAACATGTCTCTATTGCGGACACCTGTAAATGAACACGTCTTCATCTTGATGTATTATTTAATACATGGATTCAATATTTTTTTTAAAAAATAAATAAATTTCAATAAAAATAGAAACAAAGAAGGGATGATTTGAGATTTTTTTTAAAAAGAATAATAAATCTCAATAAAAGCATAAACAAAAAAAAAGAATTTAAGATGTTTTAAAAAAAAAAACTCGATAAGAATAAAAATAAAGAAGATAAGATTTGAGATTTAAAAAAAAAAAAAAAATTGATAAAAATATAAATAATGAAGAGAATTGTTTTATCTCATCTTAGTTAACTTTCACGTAATAAAAAAGAAAAAATCTTAATAAAAACAAAAACAATGAAGAGAAAATTTGATATTTAAAAAGAAAATTATGAATATGATGTCTCTCAATAATTATTTTTTAGACCTAGTAAGTTATTATTATATTAATATATAATATATTTTTTCATATTATTTATATTATATTATATATACATATGTGATGTTCACATATCTTATATTTTTTTGATTTTATATCTTATCCTCATATTCATATCCGTGTCATATTTTTGTATCGTGAAAATATTTGCTATGAAAAATTAATTTTGATATAATTATTTTACGATGATTGTGTACTTCTTAAGTCACGTCATCAAAACACTTAATTACTTTTTTAAAATCACTTAATCACATCATTTTGTTGACTAAATATTGACATTCTTCCTCAAGTCTCTTCCCAAGCGTCTCTTCTCAAGCGCTCGTAGCTAGGTGTTGTGTATAGTCAATTTACAAGTTAAACATTCAACCTCCTTCGTCTTTCCCCAATTTAGTTGATTGAATTTCTCAATCAATCTACTATTTGAAGTTATAGCATGGAGATGAAAGCAGAAGTAATTTGCGAGATTTTCCTCGTATAATTGGGCACGTAAGTCGGTAATTAGATTATCTTTGAATTTGAATTATTCAAATCAATCTAATTATATTTTTTGAGTTAAATTAAATAACTTTTTTTTTAATTCTTTTTATATTATAATTGAGTTAGATAATGAGTTAAATAATTTATTACTTAATAAATCTTAACTAATTTAACTTAACCTAATATATAATAAATTATTAATTAAATTAAAAATATTACACACTAAAGAATTATTAAACATAAACGGATGCAACTCATGCAAGAACTTTTTTATAGGTAGGCCATCACGTCGAAAAAAAAATCAATACTAAAGAATCATGCTAATAACCACGGTTTCCTTTCTTCTATAAACTTTAACTCTTCTTGGCCTTAGTGTTATTCCATCATTCCCTCCCTCTTGAAAAGGATTTGACCTCAAATCAAGAGGTTCCTCATGGTGGGCATCATGACCAACAAAAACATAAAAATAAGCATTAGAGGTAATAATATATGATAGAAATGGAAAGTGTATCCTAAGAGGAGTTCTACTAAAAATGCTAAAAAGATTGTCTAAATTAAAAGGACTAGACTCTCTAATGCAAAAGATAGGATCCTCCCCATGGTGAATTCTAGATGTATAACCAAAACCTAAAAAGGTAAAAAGACTAAAACTATAGCACACTAATGCATTAGTCCTAAAAACTAAAATATCTTGTTGGAGGTACCCATAGTGACCTAGGTATGTACTAGAAAATAAAGAAAATTTAACTAAACAATTACCTAAACAACTTTTTATTGCATTATTTGTTAGATATATATGAGAAAAATGTGTTAAGAGGAGTTAAAATAAAATTGAAATAAGAAAAATGGGGTGTTACATTATTTATCTCTCACGATATTCTTTAAGTATTGTTTTCACTCTTTCGCTTGAATCTAATTATTATAATCCTATGCATTTATTTATATTATAATATAAACAATACAAGTCTCTCACTATGAATGGTTAATATTAACTAAATTATTATTTTGATAAATAATTTATAACTATTAACTATATATAGAATCATTTCAAGTCATATTTGATAAATCTTCGCTCTAACTTAAATTTCATGTCATATAACTTTTAATATTCCTTTGTGTTGTTTCACCTACTTCTAATGCTAAGCAACATTTGTAACTTTAACTAAAGAGTTGCTAGACAATTTCTTATGATAAAGACAATTATTCTTATTGTAAATTTGCTGTCATCTTTAAGATTACCTCATCCGAGGTATTGTCCGCTTTGGTACTCGTTGGACCATCACGATTTTGTCATTTAAAATGTGTCTCGGTGGGTTAAGGAAGGAAGATATTTATAAACTACCCTTAACCTCGACTCCTAAGCGATGTGAAACTTTTAGGTATACCAGAACAACAACTATCATGCTTGCTTCTTGTATACCCAATATCGGTCATAAAATAAGTAAAGTCATTTATACCCTCACTTGGGTGATTGGTTCAATTCATATAATGACTTCTTCAATAGACACACATGGTCTTGTCTTCCTGGTAAGACAAATCCTTCTGGTTGTTGCATATAAATTCTTTTCTCTAAATCACCATGGGGAAAGGTTGTCTTTATATTTAATTACTCTAACCCCAAGTCATGTAGAGACGCAAAAACAAGGAGCACTCGAATAAAAATATTATTCACAATAAAGAAAAAATCTTCATTAAAGTCAATACCTTTTTTTTGTGTAAATCTCTTTGCAACAAGTCTTGCTTTGAATCTTATTCCATCTTTCTTCTTGAATGCCCACTTGCAACAAGTTTTCAAGTTTGATTCTCGTGAAGGGATTCAAACTCTTTTTTCATGGCACCATTTCATTGTGACGCTTTATCATAATTAATTACTTTACAGTTATGAGATATTCTTAACTAAAATATAGTTTTGCTTACAAAAGGTTTAAGTGATACTTTTGTAAAATATTGATTTATTTTCAAATAGAAGATGAGAAATATTTTTCAAAAACAAATTCATTAATCTTGTTTTGGTACACTAAGATAAAAGGTCAAAAAATAAGAAGAAAAAAAAGCTAACAAAACAAGCTACACTCTAATGAAACTTAAATTCATAGTGTCCACCACAAGTAGCCTTCCCAACAAGGTTTCCTCCCCGCAAGTAGCTCTAATGAAACAAATTCATGAATTTGAAAAATATTATCTGACATCATGTTTATTAGTCTCTTGATTCCTAAATTACTTATTTCTTGGTCTAAATTTGCTAGAAACCTAAAATATAAATCTCATTATTTTACTTTAGATGATTTATTGGTTTATTTGCATACTAAAAATAAAACGTTATCTTTTACAAAAGAGTTTTCAAAAACATTAATTTCAAGTTAAGGTTTGTTTAGTGAAAAATTTCAATAAACTTAAACTCTGAAATCCTAAATCTTAAACTTTAAATCTCTATAAAATGATTCATTTTTTTTAAAAAATAGTTTTAATAAGAGTAAGTTTAATCAACATTTATCTAAAAATAAAGCAAATCTTTTATTAACAACAATAGGTCAAAGAATAAAATTCAAGGGAATGAGTATTTTTTTGATGAACAAACCATTTTGGATTGTTTTCATCTTCCTTCTCAAAATGCATTTGATCTAATTATTTGTTTTATAAATAAAATTTAACTATAAATTAGTGAGTGAAAATAATTAAAATGGTTAGTTCACCCACAAATAAAGTAAAATAACTAATTCCCTTGAATTTTACTCTAACTTATTATTGTTAATTAAAATGTTTTTTTTAAAGAAAATGGAAGCTCTGATCAATTTTATTATTATTAAAATCATATTTTTTTTAAGGACTTTGACTTGGACTTATTGGAATTTTCACTTTCCTAGACTTGAACTTGAGGATTTTGAAATTTCTTTTATGAAAGATTATATTCATCTTCAATGCACATAGAAACAGTAAATCATCTAAAGTATAATAATAAGGTTATGTTTTAACCTCTTAGCAAATTTTGACCAAAAAATGGTGATTTAGAAATCAAGAATTAGTAAGCATGATGTTAGGCAAAAAAAAAAAAATGTTTGTTATATTCATGTCATAAATCTTAAACTATTTTACTATATTTTAATTCAAGAGTATCTCATAACTCCAAATATGTTTTAGTGTGACAAAAGACATTCAAAATACAATCATGGCATAATATTTTTTTTTGTCACTAGAAACATCACCAAGAACTAACTTGAACCCATACATTATAAAAGTCTTTTTCACATCTTCCATTTAGAATAACATAAAATAAACTCATTTTAGTAAGTCAGATTTTTATTTATTATTATCAGCATAAAAAAAAATTTACCATTAAATTTCTGTGGACTTGTTAAACAAAAACTTTAATATATTTATTACAGACATGTTAATAATAGACACATGATTTTTCTCTCTAATATTAATAAAAAACAAAACAAACATAAATAAAAAAGTCCTATTTATAAATAAATGGAATATCAACATAGCAATAAATACTTTGAATTAAAAACCAGAACCATCATTAACATGCACCATCACTTAAATAATTTTTACTCTGTCATATATTTACCATTTATTTTAAATGATTAATTTTTATGATAAATAAGTAAGAAATTTTATTGATAGTGATATCTAATTAGTTTAATGTGTAACATTATTTTATATTGTATACATAAAAGCTAGAATGATGCACCACCACAAGACTTTCAAGTGGGTTGACATGTGTAACTTTTTTAGCTTTTGTTCTTTTGCATTCTTCCCCCTAATATTTAGGTATGAGAATTAAAATAAAAATGCATTTTGTCAATGCGCCATCTTTTCATTCCGCTAGTCTTCAACAGAGTGATAATTAGGAAAGAAGAGCAATTCTACCGAGTTGAGGGGTCTCCATAGATTAGATTGCACTAGGGAAAAATAAAACCAATTAGATTAAATTATTTTTATAATGCTATTATCAATTAGTTTTGATAGAATTATAAATTTAAATATAGTATCAATTTTGTTTGAATTATTACCATCTATCTAGTCTAAATTACTTTGAATTAATTGATATTTTTCCATTCAAAAAGTATCATATATATAATAATATATTCATCAAAATATAAAATATAATTTAATTAAAATATACCAAATTAAAGTTTAAACTAATTTATGGGATATCTACCTATTAAGTGTTTAGCAATTTTTTAAAATTCATTATCAAATTTAAAACACGTGACAAACTCTAATAGAAAGAATTAAACTTGAGAAGAGTACTAGTCATTTTTTTATTTATAAATAAATATCAATAATTCAGCAATATTATACATGTATATATATAATTTAGTTTTAGTTTGATATTTTATTAGCATTTTAGTATATACAATGTAGAATATAATTCTTTATTGTGTATAAGTATAACTAAAATTTATGATAAATAAATATACTTAATTATATATATATATATTGTGTAATAATTAAAATTTGTAATAAATAAATAATTTTAAATATATAAATTATATTATAAATTATGATAAATAATTTATATTATAATATAAATTATTTTCAACTATTGATAATTTTTTTATTTAAAAATAATGAACTAAATATGAAAATGATATATTCAAAGAGATATACGAAGTTATGTAAAAAAAAAAAAAGGGAGAAAGAGATAAGAAGTTAAAGAAAATATAAAAGTGATACAAAAGGATAATCAATCATTTTTTTGAGATAAAATATATATATATTTATTTTCTAAATGCATAGTATAAGTATACGAGAATGATAAATAATATAAAAGGTGTTTTATAAATGTGTAAGTTATTAAAATGTGTGTTTTTCTCTTTTTATATGCATGTGTAAGTTATTAAAATGTGTGTTTTTCTCTTTTTATATGCATGTTGTGATGTTGTGATACATTTGATTTAAAGGGTGTTTTATAAAATTTTAAACTACTAAACCAAATTTTAGAATACAAAATTATGAATTATTTATAACATTCAAAGTTAATTTTATTTTAAGTGACAAACTATATATATAAGAAAAAAATAATAATATAACTAAAAGTGTATTAAATAAGTGTTTTTTATTAAAATAATAAAATAAAATTTATTGTTAAATACATCGAGTGACTAAATTGTTTCTAAGTTTATATATTTTTAATTTTATTTTTTACTTATGTATGTGCTTAACAACCTATCTTAACAAATAACATAATTGTATATCTAATATTAATTATAAGCAACATATTAATTTTTTTTTAGTTCTAATTATAAATATCAATAATTAGCTTTTAAGGTTATTCAAGGTTAAATTTTTATATGCCCTTCATTTGTTATTAACTTTATTTCTTAGGCATTATAACTAGTATTAAATACAACAACCACTTAGAGTAAAAGGGTGCATTTGAAATAAAATTTAATTTATGATAGAATAAATTAAAAGTAACTATATTAATTATTATTTTTTGTCTAATTTGTCATATATTACTTATAAGTAGGACTGAAGATAATGGTATTGCATGTTTTAAACTTATTTTTAAATAAAAGATTTTTAAATTTGCAAAAATTGAACCAATTTAAAAAATGTTTGTGTTGGTTTGGGTTGAATTTAATAAGACATCTAAAATACATGCATTAATTAAGATAAAATTTAGAGTAAATGACTAAATTAATCCCATAAATTATATGTCACTGTCCCTCAAACAAAATTGTTAAAAATGTAATATGCCATTTATTCGATTAAGTTTTTTTTTAACTAAGTTCTGTTTTTTAAAATGAATATGTCTACAGTACACAATAATTCCATGTGATATACATATGGTATATATGTGAAATGACACGTGTTACATGGGTATTATGTTTTACATATCATATGATTATAAAACATAATATTTACTTTAATTCCTAAAACTATAATATCATGTCACTTTAATCCTTGAAATTGCAACTCAACTCCACTTTAATTCCTAAAATTTTAATTTGATGTCACTTTAATCTTCAAATGTTATCATAATTTTATTTTAATTAAGTAATTATGCCTTAAATATTTATACAATAAAATAGATAATTAAATTAATATTATAAATATGATAAGAGTCATATACAATTTTAGAGACTAATTTAACTATTTACTCTAAAATTTAACAAGTGGAATAAATATTTGTTGCATTACCAACAAAAAAAATAATGCACCATGTTTAATTCATCATATGTTATATAGTGTTTAGTTGAAGACGGGAATGAAAAGAAAGAGAGACATTTAAAAAAAAAAAAATCTTTTGGTTCAACTTTTAGGAGGAAAGGAGAGTAAAATCTTTCCTAACCTAATTTTAGCCCCCTTTAATATATATGGGAGAGATTTGGAGAAGAGCCAGAGGATTTCAAAATATTTTTAATGTAATATCTAAAATATTCTTATTTTTGTTATTAAATTCAACATCATAAAGATATAAAATTCCCTTACGAACCAAATAAAAAAAATATACTTTTTATCTTCTAAATCAAACAAAATTTCTAACTCTTTACTTCTCTTTATTCCATTAAAATCCTTCCACTCCCCATCTTTGAAACAAATGAACTCTTAAAAAAATGATAGTTTAAAACGGCTAAAGAAAATAATTGTTTAATATAATGATAAAAAAATACTATCAATTACTAATTATAAATATTTTTAATAATATTTTTAAAACATTTATAATGAAAATTAACAAAGTTACTCTAAAAAGTTGCAATTTCTTGCGATTAGATGAAAATAATTTTATATTAGTAGTTCATATATTATTTATTAAAAAATAACTTGAACTTTTTTAAGGATATACATTCATTAATTAAGATAAAATTTAACAAGTGAAAATAAATATAAAAAAAAACTATACAAAACTACTTATATATATTTTTAATTTTTTTTTATCTATATCATTTTTTATGTTTATCTTTAAGTTAAATTTCAGTTTTTTCTATAAAAATTACAAGTGATTAAAAATAATCTTATATTATAATATAAATCATTTATTATGGATCTAAATTATAATTTATATGACAAAAATATTTATTTACTAGAAATTTTAATTATAATATAATTATATGCTTAAAAGTGTTTATTTAATATAAAAAAATTATCTTATGTATTATACAAACTAAAATACTAATTATTAAGGGGTCTTTTATTTTACTATTTTGATATTAAATTCGATTCTTACGGATAAAAAACCTAAAATACTAATTATAATTTATTTATATTAAGAATATTTATTAACTATAGATTTTAATTATTTAAAAATAAATATTTTTTTTCTATAAGATGTACAACTTTATAACAAACTGAAAAATATTAAATTTTGAATTTACATCTCACGCAATAAATTTTGAAATCTTTAGCTCCATATCAGCTATGCCCTTGGTGCTAGAAAGATAAAATCCACTTCTCCCCCACTAATCTGTTACTGTTATCTTCAATTATTGTATTTGAAAAAAAAATCTTGAAGGTATCCTAATACTAAATTAAATCCTAATAAGTTTGTTATTTGTTATTATTTTTTTTAAAAATATTCATATCTCAACACGTGAGTCTGTTGGAGTAAATTGTAACAAATCATAACAATTAACAAGAAGTACGTGATTGCGATTTTGTGGTTGTGTACCCTTTACAGTTACGATTTCAATGGGATTCAGTAAAAATTTTAGATCGCTATATATACACAGCGCATGGTGTGGGAGAAAAAAATAGTGTGATCATTTGCTTAGTTTTCTCTTGTTCTTTTGTTTTGTGTGATTGGTATTCTTGTGTTGTCATGGAGATTGATCTTACTCCCCAGTTGTCCAAGAAGGTGTACGGAGACAATGGTGGGTCGTACTATGCTTGGTCCCCTTCTGAGCTTCCCATGTTGCGTGAAGGGAACATTGGTGCTGCCAAACTAGCTCTTGAAAAAAATGGTTTTGCCCTTCCTCGTTACTCTGACTCTTCCAAGGTTGCATACGTTTTGCAAGGTCAAGTTATACAACTTTTTCTCTTTTGATATCGAAATTGATTCCTTTATTCCTTTTATGTTATGATCTACTTAAATCATGACTGGATTTTTTTTATGTAAAAAAAATCATGTCTTTATAGATTAATCGGTCTATCTTTTTAAATGAATGTCTCGGTTCTAAATTTGTTATTCATTTTGAAGGTTTTATGAATCAAATTTCTTCATGCACTGATTAAGACTCAACTAGATTTGTTTTTGATCGTTGTGCTCTCTCTGTGATACCGTATAATGTGCATACAAGATTCTTAAAATTATTGTCATCTTTGCTTTTGTTTCATGAACATTATTTTGTAGAAGATGCCCTTTTATTCCTGATTAACTTTTTGTCGATATCAAGGGGCAGTTCTGTCACGATTTATGATGTAGTTGCATAAAAAGTCTTAAATCCTTAGATGTTGCGAATCGTTTTTTAAAATCCTGGTCAATAATGTTTTATATTTTGTTAAGCTAATGTAATTGTCTAAATGAACAATAATATTTTAGGGGAGATGATGAACAATAACATTGATTAAGTAGGGGCCATTTTGGATTATTTAGTGATTCAGTATTCTGATTATTGGTTGATTTTTAAATGTGAAATGTGGAAACAGGTAGTGGAGTGGCTGGAATTGTGCTCCCAGAATCAGAGGAGAAGGTTGTTGCAATCAAGAAGGGTGATGCTTTGGCACTCCCTTTTGGTGTGGTGACATGGTGGTACAACAAGGAGGACACTGAGTTAGTTATTCTGTTCCTTGGCGACACTTCAAAAGGCCATAAAGCTGGTGAATTCACTGATTTTTTTCTCACCGGCTCCAACGGAATCTTCACCGGATTCTCAACCGAGTTTGTGGGCAGAGCCTGGGACCTAGAAGAGAAGGACGTGAAGACCCTTGTTGAGAAACAAACAGGGAAGGGCATTGTGAAGCTTGATGGGAGCATCAAGCTTCCTGAGCCCAAAGAGGAGCACAGAAAGGGCATGGCATTGAACTGTGAAGAGGCTCCACTTGATGTTGACATAAAGAATGGTGGAAGGGTTGTGGTCTTGAACACCAAGAACCTTCCCTTGGTTGGTGAGGTTGGTCTCGGCGCAGACCTTGTGAGGATTGATGGCAATGCCATGTGTTCTCCAGGATTCTCTTGTGACTCTGCATTGCAGGTTACTTACATTGTTAGAGGGAGTGGTCGTGTTCAGGTTGTTGGTGCTGATGGTCGCAGGGTTTTGGAGACTACTATAAAAGCCGGTAATTTGTTCATCGTGCCAAGGTTCTTTGTTGTCTCAAAGATTGCTGACCCTGATGGCATGGCTTGGTTCTCTATCATCACCACCCCAAAGTGAGTTTTTCTTACAATTTTAATAATGATGTTATTCTTTGGTTAGACATAGTTAATACACATACATTTTCACATTTTTAATGATATTATCCATTTTAAATTTAAAAAGTCATTCAAGAACATAGATAGTAAAAATACTTATTAGTAACATGCTTTTTAAGTAAAAAATATGTTTTAAAAAAGGTGTTACTCTTTGTTCATTGGTAGGTAGTTGTGAATGTATGCTGCATATGATTAAATTCTAACAATGGTTATTATGTTGTTGTTGTATCAGTCCTATATTTACGCACCTGGCTGGAAGTATTTCAGCGTGGAAGGCTCTTTCACCTACGGTTCTGCAGGCATCTTTCAATGTAGATGAAGGAGTTGAGAAACTTTTCCGTTCAAAGAGAACTTCCGATGCCATTTTCTTCCCTCCTCCAAATTAATCATACCTATCTAAACAGATGAAAATAATCTTCCTATCCCATAGAATTTGTTTATCTACTTGGAACAGTTTGAAATAGTCCGAGATTTCAGTTCATGTTTGAATTAGTAGAGTACTTTTTAAGTATATACATTTCTTTTGGGTCTGTAAGGAATTTAATACCTTTTGCCTTTTTTTTTTAATCTGATCTTTATTTTAGTTCACACAATTTTTATATATAGTTTTTATGTCATTTTTATTATATTTATAGTTTGTTTTTTTAACATTAGTTGGTTCTATAATTTCTTAGTAAGTTCATGAAATAATATGAGTTTTATTTTTTAATAAATTAAAAAATATTTAAAAGGATAATTATTAACTTAATATAAAAGTAAAGAACCCAAAAATGCCTCTTTTAGAGTATGGAAGAACAAAACAAATTTATAAATAAATTATAAATTAAATTGCACTTTTAATCTTTTATTTTTATAGATCTGTAATTTTTTTTTGTTTTTTATTTTTTTATTTTAAAATAATATATTTAGTTATTTTATTATTAAATATATAAAAGTTTTGTTTTATCATATATTAATTATTAAATTTTTGATGTTATTCGATAATTTATTATTATTTGATATTAGTTACTTTATATACATACTTTTATATGTTATTTTTTAAATTTTTTAAAGATGAAGAGATTTGGTATGCAAAATCTTGAAACTCATAGAGTCTATCAAAATCAGATAAAAAGTTCCATTCATTTATATAGTAGTTATGTAAATAGTACATTACAAATATAAGATATACACACCATAATTATAACTGGTCATCTCAATTCAAATAAAACATTTTTGCCTCTCTTTAAGCCCCTCCTCCTGTGAATATATACAATATTAGTTCTTGGATTAGATGAAATCAACAATAAAATCATGCCACAGTAGTTTGAAAGTAAAGCATAAAAGAAAATGACGAATAAAATTTAAAATTCTGCTCTCTAATATTGAAGATTTTCTGTCAATTAACATGGTTAACCTGATAAATTTTAATTTATTACCGTCTAAATGACTATTTAACCAAACAAGATAGAGTATAATAAAAATATATTTAAACTTTATATATATATTTTTCTATTTTGTTCTCTATCTATAAAATAGAAAAAAATAGTTGTTACAAAATATTTTATTTATTAATAATCATAGATACATCGTCGGTATATTCATGGACTACTTTTATCATTTTTAACTGACGTTCAATTAATAAGATAGAATTAAAAATATAAAATTACATTACATAATTTTACAGAAGAGAACAAAATTACTTAATTAAAAAAAAAAAAACTAAAAATTGTGCGCTGTCACGAACCTGCCAACTTGAGCGAGTAGAAACTCGAAGCAGAGCTTCGCGCGAATACTGAATAGTAGTATCATTTCGCGTAGCTATGAATCCCGTTTGGTGATGAGAGAAAATGGCACCATTGAAATCTCTCGAAAAAGAGTATCCACTCATTGACTCTAATTTTCAAAGCTTCTGCTCCTCCCACGGCATTTTCTCTGGTTCCTTTTCCCTTTCTCTCTTCCGCTATTTTCTTTTTTCGATTTCGTTCTTCAGTTATGTTATGCACGCTCACGATTCCACTGTTTTCTCAGTTGAAGATTTCCTTCTGCATGATCTCGACGCCTTAATTGCTTTTGCGGATAATCACCCTACTTCACAGACACTGAAGCAGGTCAGGGTTACCTAATCCTATTTTTTAATTTTAATTTTATATTCTGCAAATTATGTTATTAGGTTAATAAATAACCTTGAGAGTTTACTGTTTAGGGAATTGACCAGCTTCTCTCGACAATAGATGCTCTTCAGCCACCATTGCTAAACGGTTTACAGCTCTTGGAAGATGCTCAGCGGAATAAACATGTTTTGCTCACTGGATGTGAAAGGTACTTTCAGTTCAACGTGTAGTTCATGTTGTGTTATTGCCTAGTGCATTATTTAGGAATGTTAGTGACTGTGTTGGACACCACTTTTTTGCACAAAATTTCTTATACTATAGGGCGTGCTTGGTTGAGCAGTTGGAAAATTTGGAGTGATAATCAGTTTGCACTGGCTAGTTGTAATAAAAAGTCTGGGAGGTTTTGAACGTGGAATGCAACTCATTTACACTCCACTTAACTAGTTTTAACCACTATTGCGGCAAGGAACAGAAATGAAATTCATTTTCTATTAATCAACAATTAATGAAAGTCAAACCTTTGTTTTGCTCTCCTTATTTTCGACCAGTGGCGCAGTGCTTTATTGTCTATACGATGTACAAAACTTTGGTGGATTATAATATTGACTTTTGAATAAATGTTAGATTTGGCTTTTAATAAGGTACTGAGACTGTCGGTTAAAAATAGCACTACTTAGTGTTTGAGTCTATGTAACTCAGGATTGATGCATTGCTTGGAGGTGGATTACGTGAAGGACAATTAACTGAACTTGTTGGGCCATCCTCGTCTGGAAAGACACAGGTAAGAATCCACGCCTTCATCAAAAATCTCATATTGTGTAGGAGTGTAACGGGTGAGGCAGGGGTAGGCGATATTTCCCCTGCCCCATCCCTGATGAGTATACCACTAGATGTTTAGCCATGGATATTTCATAGTTGCTGGTGTTTAAGAACTTAAAATGAATTTTAAAATTTAAAAGTCACAGAAGAATACAAATGTCTAAAATTTAACATCATATGTTGCAATGTTGCCTAATAATTAAAAATTCACATACTTTTATTCATTAAATGAATGTCACTAAACAAATAACATGCTTGGTTCAATTGTGTTGTAATAATTAATCTGCCAAACAATTTGAAGTATTTTCTCAAAAAAATTTATTGTTGTAAACTCATTTGTCAAAAATAAAACACTGTAAAAAAATAAAAATAAAATTATATTTTTATCTTATTTATGCAAAGAGGAAAAAAAAATAAATTTTACGTATGCCAAAAATAAAGCAATTATTTATTAGACATTAGACTATGAACGGTCACTTTTTAAGTTCTTGTATTTGATCTATTAATTGTGTGTTTTGAAAATTGAAGTTACAATTAAATCAACAAAATTGAGTTGAATAAGTTCAGTTCAATTTGATACCGGAGGAAATAGATTTAGCAACAAAAGAAAAAAAAACATTGACTTGAATAAAGTAAATTAGTTTATTTTAACTTACTAGAAACATTAATTCATTTTTATCTCCTTTCTTTTTTCTATTAGAAAGTTACAAGTTTATATTTATAGAAAAATCTACACAAAAAAAGGTCCAAAGAAAAACAACAGGTAAGATCATATACATGCTTTGGAGAAGAACATGCAAATGAACGTGAAGAGGAAAAATGAATAAGTTCAGAGTCTATGGTCTTCGAATAAGGATTTTAAATAAAAATTAATATGACTTGGGATTTATTTGCCATACTTTACCATAATTTGTTAGTAGCTGCTGCAGCACTGGCAAGGGATTTAGTATTTTCATTAGGGACCCCAACAAGAACTTCTATGTTGGAATCTCTTAAGGCCCGAATGGTTACTGGGCCAAGGTCGTATATCCTTACTTTGGCAGATGATAAACACACCTCCACTCTCGTATAAACACACCCCTTTTTTTAAAAAATATATAAAATGTCTAAATTACCCTTTTAAAAAAAATGAAATTCTTAAATTTACACCTCCCTTCCCCGCACCCCCTTTCCCCGCACCCCACACTCCACACCCCTCTTCTTCCCAAAGCCTCTTTTCGCTCAATGTCATTAAGCAATATATTTTTACAGTCATTCTGAATAGAAAAAAATTCTGTTTGGTGGGAACTTTTCACAATCTGTGAGCTTTAGGAAAACAGATAGATATTTGCCTCTCTCCTGTGAGTCTCCTTTGGGATAAACCCTCAATTTCCTAAATAAATGGAAGAAAAGATTAATTTTTAATTTTACTTTTATTCCTAATTATGTTATTATTATTTTGTAAATTTGGTCTATTTATTTACTTATGTTTATTTTTTTATAATTAAATTTGATTCACCGCTATTTTGATTATGAAATTTTGATTAATACGTTAATCAAGCGTCAAATGTTTAACATGTTGACGTGATAGTAACATGTGAGCAAGAATGTGTTGACATAGAAATGCAATAGAGTGTCACAACATTATTATTTTAAAAATTTTTGAATATAAGTTAATGATTAACTACAAAAAAGAATAACTAAAATGGGAGGAATTTAAATTAAAAAAAAAATAGAAAACAAATTGGTGAAATGATTATGAAGGATTGGGCAAACATAAAGGGGAAGAACAGAATTATTAATTAGGAGTTGACATAGTAGAAAATTAAAATAATATATACAAGATTTTAAGTTAAAAATTATGTTTTCGTATTTGTAATTTTTATAGATAAAAATTAATGAGAAGAGAATGTTAAATTTTAATTGATTACCAGTCTCTAGCACCCACAGTAAAGGATTTGGAGAGGTGAGAAGTCTCATTCAATGTTGAGAAATTCTCAATTTTCCAAGTGAAGGTGCCATGAGCAGGTTCTTTGACCATAGAAAGACTTTCCCATTTGCCAGATTGGCTAATCACAAATACCTCAGCTCCAAAAAAACATGAATCTTCAACAAGGTATCCTTTAGATGAATCAAGGAGGGTCTCCAACGAAATTAATTGGTCAAAACCCCACACTGTTTTCTTTTCATGAAACTTTCTTACAGTGCCATCAGCATCTGCCAAAATTAAATAACATGTTGCTAAGACACATCTTCAAGAGGCATGTGTTGGATAAATTTTTGCTAAAATACTTGTGAGAATTACAAGTTATAATAGTCAAAACTATATATGACTACGTGAATCTCAATATATTGTTATTTTTCTTATAACAAAGTATAAGGAATTTGATATACCTTGGATAGTTAAATAATTGTCATTTTTCTTATCAAAGACGAACAACTTGAAGTTTACGTTAACCTCCCAGCCATTAGAAAACTTTTGGGTATCTGCTATTGCCAAGTATAAGGAGACGTAACCACTGCCATTGCTTTTGATATTACCATTTGGATAAAGTAACACACACACACACACACACACACATATATATATATATATATATATAGATGTTAAATAAATAAAAAATATTTCATGGGTACTTGGGGGATAGGTAATCTGATCCCTACACCTGCCTCATATATCAAAGGGGGTGAGGGGTACGGGGTACCTGTAACTTGCCCCATTACAGGTAATATGCAGACATGGGGATTTAGTCCATGCTTCATCGTGGGTGTATTAAGAATAAAATTATAAAATTAAAATGGTTTGCATTGGTCATGTGGATGATCTTTCTGCTACCACACGTTCTCAGCTATATATCCTTCTCAATATTGAAACGTACTTAATGAAATAGCTAATGTGTCATCTCTTATTTGGTTAATATAAAATAAATTGCTATCTTTTGTTTCTTCGTTTAGATTCTGTTCAAATATAACTTGCTTTTTCTATTTATTTATTTTTATTTTAGGCATGCCTACTGTCTGCCTCAACTGTTGCAAAGCATAATAGTTCAGTTATATACTTAGATACAGGCAACTCCTTTTCACCTCAGCGTATTGCAAGTTTTGTTGGTCAGTCTTCTGGTCATGTTTTTGACAATCAGGTTACTTTGACTCAAGACTTATTATAAATTGTTTGATCCATCTTTCCCATTAACTGGCCTTAAAACTGTTTTTAAATGATCCATCTTTTTAGGTTGATCATATACTCAAAAAAGTATTGGACAGGATAATTTGCTACTCAGTGTTTGATGTCTATCAGATGTTTGATGTGCTGCATCAACTGAAGAGTAATTTAAGATCTGAGGTTCTCGTTGACTGGAATATTTGTACCTGGTGCAACTTGATTTTGTATTTCTTTCTATCAAATAAATGACTACTGTATGGCACAGATTGTGAAATCAAATCAACATGTTCGATTGCTTATTGTTGATTCAATCTCCTCACTGATTACCCCCATCCTTGGGGGCAGTGGTCCTCAGGGTATAGTACATTTTTGCATGCAAAATTCCTTGCAATGTTTACTTTAAAATATGGGTCCACTTACCATTTTTGTTTGCTGACTTGTGCAATTGTTGTCTGTTTTCATTCTTTTGGAACTCCCCGTTCTAATTTAACCGTTTTATCCAATTTACTTGTTATATTAATACTTTCTTAGGAACTTGAGCTTTTAACTACATGAGTTAAATGAATAAGAGTGCTTTCCGCTCTACATTTAAAGAAGGATGTAAAGGGTGGTGTGCCCTTATTTAAGTATTATTTTTCCAACAATAAATTTTAAAGAGCTTGCTTCTTGTTTTATTATTACTTTTCCAACCATATGTCTCCTATTATCTGATAACCATGTGTCAAGTCAAGCACTTCATTCTGGTTTCAATGTTCAGCCACTAAGTCACTATTAGAGACTAAGAAAGTGTGTATATTTTTTGGAGAGGTATATAAATTGATTATACTCTTTTGAAATGAGAAGTCTAATTATATGGATCATAATCTATTCGGCAAATTGTTTAGAGGTCAAGTCATTTCTCATGTCTTTCTACTTTTTAGTTTTGTTATTTTCTTCTTTGTTGTCACCAATTTCATTATATGATTAATCATGCTTTTCTTTGCCTTTCTCTGGTTAAGAGGGTCTTATTTTGCATGATAGAAGATTGGCTAGAATATAGATACTAACTGTGCAGAAACTTACGGTTTACATGTTATGGATGATTTCAGGACATGCTTTAATGATATCTGCTGGGTTTTTACTGAAGAAGTTAGCGCATGAGAATAATATTGCAGTGTTGGTAAGTTTTGGTATCCTTTTTCATTCTTGCTGGTGATAATCCTTTAAATATTTGTAAGTAAAGCACTGAAGCCTACTAATTAAAAGGGATTTTCTGGGGTATCTTACTTAAACCTTATTCATATGATAAAATACAACCAGCAACCACCAAAAAATTTCCAACTATGTGGGATCAGCTACATGGGTCAAACAATGTCATAACATTCTATCATAAATCATGTTTATAGAAGATACTGCTTGTCTTACTTTTATTATGAACCAAGTTTTATGCCATCAAGCATTGTTATTGGTTCAGATGACCTCCTATCTGCTGTTGCATTCTCTTGGCAACCATTAATATTTTTTGTGGCATCTCCATGCTATCATTTGGCTGTTAAATAACCAAAGTCAGCAAGTAACTATTCAAATTTGTCCAAGTATGTCTAACATAGTGGTATTTTTCAACTTCTGTACCAATGACCACTGAGTTCATTATAATAAGCAGAATTACTGAAGATCACCTTTGACTTGGTTCTTGCAATTTGCCTTGTTGTGCTTCCAATAGAGGCAAACAACCTCTTCAACTTCACAGATTGTGTAATCAGTTAATCACATCTTCTATGTATATTCTTTTTAAATAGTTAAGAGTATTATGCTGCTTAAAATATGCATAAACTTCCAACAGACTAGAAATTTCTTGCAGATTTCATTTTCCCACTTTTTCATATGCATCTTATCATATGCTTAAAATATGATAAATTTCATATGCTTAAAATGTACCTAAATTACATTGTTTAAAATATACCTAACTCTCGCACACACATCTTATCACATGCATGAAAGGCACTGCGATAAAGGAATCCCATCTGCACACTATTGAATGTGCAGATTGACTACTGTCGATTGTGGATGGTCTAATTGTCATGTTAAACAGAATGAATGAACTTCACATTTCTCACTCTTGACCTTTCTATTTTTTCTTGGGATGCTAAGCCCTACTGAACCTTGGGGAGGCTCCACTCTAAGGTGGGGGACTTAGGGGCGCTCCAATCTGCTTCTTCTCCAATACACCATATGCCAAATACCACTAGACCAATGGCTCTTGGGGTTACACCACCTTGCCTTTTTTTCCTTGTGACAGTGATCCTTGAAGGTGAATAGGAAAGTTGTTGTGTATGGTCCTTGTTCTTAAAATTAAAGTGACTGGAATAATGGTGCCTGATTTGTAATGTCTCTAAAATTTGTCCGGTGGTAGTTGTGAAAGAATCATATCTTAGTTCCTCCTTTTTATTGTAACTAAGACCGAACAAGAGAAATAAGTTGTGATGTCTTAGAGAGATAAACAAGGCGGTGAGCTTGTGTCTATGCCTCCAGGGATGAAGATGACAGGGTATTAGAGTATGTGTCCATAACTGTGTTAAGTAAAAGACCTGTACTAGGACCCTAGCAACATGTTCATATCAAATTAATACATATATTCCTAAATTTGATCCGTTGTCCATATTTTAGTTGGATGGAACACTTTTTTTAATGTCTTTTTAACAAACTAGTAAAACAAGGTTGTTGTTTTAATACTAAAATTTATTTATTATTGTGAAAAACGAATTAAATGAAAAATATTAATTACACTGTAACACAAATAAAATAAAAATATATCTAAAAAATAAGTATGACAAATATAGAGTTAAACAATTACGTTATTTTATGCATGTGTGTACAAGTATGGGGCAAGAATACTGTAGACAGTACCCAACTTGCATTCACACCATCAAACTTGTTCAAGGAATCATCCAAACCCTTTGATTCGTCAAAGTCCTATCCCTTGTGAATAATTTTTTTGAGTAGCAGTTGGGTCTGCGTCTTGTCATCTGTATCAAAGTTAGCATTATATGAATCATCTGTGTAAAAGTACAACTGTCTTGTGGGTTAAACAATGCAATGAGAGGACAGAATTTAGGGGGCAGAAAAAAGAAAATCATTTTGAGAAGGCCAGACAACGATTGAATCATGACTGGGTCTCATTTTATATTTAGAAAATTTCAAACATAATTGCTGTGATTTGTATTCATGAGGCAGGGAAGCCGGAAGCTATGTATCTTCAAATAACACTTCAATCGAACAAATTTTGAAGGTAACGAATCATGTGGTGGGTGGAGAAGATGGTATTTCCAAACCAGCACTCGGAGAGAGTTGGAAGAGTGTCCCACATGTACGGCTTTTGTTTTCTCGTGATTTTGGAAGCAATGTCTGCCATATTTCAGTGCTAAAACATCCATCTATGGTATGCCACTTGATCAAAAATTTATTTATGGTGTTGTATACGTTAGTTAGTGCCATGTTAATGAGCTGTTATTTTTGGGATGGCATTCTACTCCGCACCATTTTCCCCTTGGGCATTTGATTCCTCTACATCTCTATCATTGATGGGAATGGGATAGTTTATTATTATTATTTGGAGTTGAACCTCTCCGGAAATTAACCAGTCTGAAATTATTGTTCTGTTTCAGGCTTCTGCTAGGGCTGCAAGTTCTACTTTGTATTTATGACTGTTATGACGGTGGATTTCGAGCTAGATATCCTTCGACCTTTATTATAACTCTGATCCCACCGTGACATTTTTTTGGTACAGATCACCGTGACATTTCAAGATAAGTTGAAATATATAAAGCATTATTATTTTTCTTCGACTGTTTGCATTAGCGGATCTTACGAGTCCTGTATACTGGTTTTGCATTTAGTATTTTGATAAGTTATTTTTAAATTAACCCAAATGTGGTTAATTAAACACCCTAAGCTAAGGTTTTGACTCAAGATTTTGCTGTGCCAGTTTGATCCGGGTATTATCTATCGACTTTGTATTGAGTAGGGCGTTCGAGCATGAGTATGTAATTGTAATTGAATTTTTATTTTGATTTAGGAATGGAAATATTTAATGTTTCTTGTAGCCTACATTTATAAGCTACTGGCTTATTTCCGAAAGCGATTCACTCCATGCTAAGCCTTGAATCATATTGCGGGTAATCGAGTGCTGATGCTCGTGATTGCAATTGCTTTTTTGTTACCAAAGAGTCGTGAATATACTAATTGATCAGTTGGTGAAGCCGTGTTTGCACGGGCATATTTTAGAAGTTCTAAATTCCCATATTAAAAGTATTTTACAATGAATACCTTAACTTGGTCTACATAATAGTTATAAAGATTTAACTATATTTTTAAGTCTTTGTAATGTCATTTATTTTTATTTCAGTCTTCATACTAATTTGCCCGCGAGTTATAGCTGGCCAAGCATTTATAAGATAGAATTTATAACCACTAGACCAAAAGGTTCAAGTTATCTTTGTTATTTTGTTTTAGTTTTTATAAAAAAAGATTTTGTTTTTGTACTTGTAATATATAAATAAATCGTTTTTTAGTCCTTATCAAATTATTTTCAAAGGGGCTAACTAAAAATGAACAAGATGTATAGCCTAAAATTAAAAAAAAAAATTGATATAATATAAAGACTAAAAAAATGTGTAAAGGCAACCTAAAAAGTTGCAAGATCAAAATTTAACAAAAAAAAGTAGTATATTTTTAGAGGCAAAACTATATTTAAATCTAATTATATGTAATATAAATATACAGGTTAATAATTAACTACTAATTTCATATAATTCCAATATTTTTTTGAATCACCCAAAAAATTCCAATATTACATGATATTTATACACTTAAAGATGTTTGCTTTATAGATTATAAGTTTATTGATAGGAATGTAAGTATGAGAATGTATTAATCTCGTGTTACAAGTTTTGAAAAATTATGTTCGGGTATTATTTATTCTTAATAAAGTCACTTGATCATGTTTTCTACACTTTTATTCTCATTGAGAGTGGAAAAATAATATTAATATGAGAAGTTATGTTTTAATACACTTATAAATTTTTAATTATTTTTTATAGAAGTTATTTTCAATTTTAAAAAATATTCCAATAAATATTAAAATGCAATCAAACACATTTTCAAAATATATCCTAAAATAACATTTTGAGTTAAAATATTTTTGAGAATACGATTTTTAAAAATATTATATAATATCTCAAAACTTTATACTGTGGGAAATATATAAAAAGAAAAAAAAACCTTAAGAGTATGGGGAAAACAACACTTCGTGTGTTTGTCTATTTGATTCCCTATTTGAGACTATGTTTGGTACAAAATAATCTAAATGACATTAAAGAAGCAATTATTAGGTGCATTGGAGATCGTATCGAGCAATTTCTAACATATTTTCAAACACTGTTAATGGAATTAGTGAGGCTTCAAAATAAAGGCGAGAACAACACTACCAACCAAATTAAGTGAACTGTTTTTTTTATTTGGAAATATATTAATCCCGACACAGTATTCAAATATTATATAATTTAATAGTGATGGAATTAAGATAATATTCGAGTCACCTCAAAAAAAAAGAAGAAGATAATATTCGAGTCTTACGTTCAAATTTTGTTATCCACACAACATTTTTTATGAATAAAAAATATTATAAATTTGACAAAACTCTAAATATTATGATATATCAAATTTAAAGTTTTTATAAAAATTACTAGAATTAACCTAATAATTGAAGAGGAGAAGTTAAAATAAAAACGAGAGGAACTAAGTTTTATTCTCGTTAAATCGTTGTAATTTTTCTTATAAATATAAAAAAAAAAAAACTTTAATGTGTATTTTAATTATTAAAAACTTATAAATTAATGTTTTATTTTAATTTTTAATATTAATAGAATGTAGCTTTATATATTATAAAGTTATTGTTATTTTATTAATACTAATTCAATTAGAGATGAATTATAGAATTATTAACAGCTTGACTGATTAAATGACTTGCACAGTTTTGGGAAAATTCAAGTAGTGTAAATGAAAAAATAAATTATCCAAATTTTTGACAACGATCAATAATTAATGCATATAAGGAAAGAAATCACCCCCAACAAGAAAGCACAGATAATGAATGGGGTCTCAACTGAAGAGAAGTAATTACTAATAAATGGCAGAAACCAAAAACCAATGGATGCATGGTTGGTGGCAAATGTGGCCAGCAAGCATCCACGGAGATTGTAAAACGACGACGGTGATTTTTGACTACAGTGATAGGGTGACACTGTCTATCAAAAGGACACTGACAGACAACTACAGTAGTACCAAAAATATTATGATGGCAACGACCGACTGCAAAAATTGATCATACCGACAATATTCTAGAAGATCAATATGCCCGTAACATGGTCACGTGTTTTTTTCTCATACACCAATAATAGAAATTGGTACGTGGATCGATCACTGCCAAGGCTTCCGAAAATAAATAATGAGATACATGTAAGCATTCAAAATAAACAAGATAATTAGAATTAGTATCAAGGTATCAAATTAAGGTTCAGTTCCAACACATGTATTGGACTTGATTCTATTAAGAAAATCAGTTTATTGATTGTGTCTAAAACACATACCTCATTAGGTTGGTTCAATAGAACAAAAAAATAAAATAAAAATTAATGACATGATTGAAATGTTGATTGACTTTGAGTAATATTCTTTATATTTGAGGTTTCATAATTTTACTTTATAGTACTTGATATAATGATATTTTATATATATTTTTTATTAGTTAGATCCTTTATTAGTCAGAATTTTCTATAGATAATTTTTTTTAGAAGCTTGTCTGATTTTTAGAATTAATGATTGACTTTATAAACAACATAAGATTTTCTAGTACACTTTCACTAAAAAAATATATATATAAATTATCGATGAATAATTTTTGACAAAAAATTTACATTTTTGACAGATTTTACGACGAAAAAGTAGATTTATAGGAAAAGTTATATTATCGATGGTAATTTTCGACATATACAAATCTATTGAAAAATTTACATTTCTAACAGATATATCCGTCGATAATTTTCAACGAAAAAAATCGTAAGAAAAGTTATATTAATGATGGAATAATTTCAACAAATTTATATTTGTTGAAAATGTAAGAATTTTTGACAAAAATTGACAATCATATATTAAAAAAGATCAATAAAATTTTAAATATCTATATATATATATAGAGAGAGAGACAGAGAGAGGAGGAATCAAATGACTCACAAAATAACTCTTGGTAAAGTTACTCCGCTCAATAACTTATGGTGTATGTTGAATTTCATCGATCTAATTGTTAAATTAAAATTTATTAAATTTTCTAATAATTAATATATAAAAAATTGATTAACTTTGAAATAAATTATTTGTCAATAATATAGTTGAAAAATTGATTATTTTAAATTATTTAACTAGAATCTTATTGACAATTTACTATATGATCTTGATATTTTTGTATAACTAATATCTGGTATTAAATTTGATATGAAAATATTATGATATAATTAGATAAGATTTTAAATTAGTATTTTATTAATAGTTGATAATTAGAAAATAAAATAAGGATAAATATATTTTTTTGAATTTTATATCTTAGATTTAAGATAAATAAATATATTAAGTTACTTAATAATTTATTTAAAATATTAAAATTTAATTTATAAAAATAATATTTTAAAAGAGAAGGGTTATAATAACATTAGTGTAACTTTTACTAAAAATAATTTAAGTTGTATCATAATATTAATTTTAAATAGAAATAAGTAGATTGTTAATTATAAAAGTAAGTATATATATAAATAAAGATTAATTAAATATAATATAATTATTATTATTGGTAATATAATTATTATATATATTATTATATTTTTATAACCGTTCGGACACACCAGAATGAGAGGGATTCAGAGATAGTATAAGAATAAGATTGTATAGTTGATGATGACTTAAATGAATTAATTTGTAATATCTATATTAACAACATGCATCTACTTTTTGATAGTTAATCTTATTAGAATTCTACAGTTAAACATTCTTGACTTGAAGTAATATAAAGATGGGTGACCTTCTAGAAAGTTTTCCAGAAATTTATTAATATAAATGATGTTATATTAATAAATTTATTAAAATTGAACAAAAATTTTCCGACAAATTTAAACGTCAAAATCACATAAATTTTTTTAAACAATTTTCATCATCAAAAATTACCAATGAATGTATCCATTTTTCGTTGGATTTTTTTTTTCTGACCATCCAACACAATTATGGTTGGATAAGTATGTTCAATCTAACACAATGACTCAAACTTTTAAAACGTAACATATTCACAATTTTGAAATTATTGCAGAAAATTTTAATCACAAATGTTAATGTACAAATATAGATGAGAATCTTACATTATACAGATACGTTAAGTAGCATATGAATCAAAAAGATTGTTAAACCTAATACTTTAAAATTTTTGGTTAAAATATAATATTAAATTCATATTTATTCATAACGTAGACGTATTAAAAAAGACAAAACTCTATTAATATTTATTTTCGTAAATCCAGAATACGAAAGAAAAATTTGCAAAAATAAAATAAAATAAATTAAAAGCCACACCTTTAAATTCATGAACTAGTCATCATGCAATTATTTAAAGGCAATTTATGCTATGCCATTTAGATTTATTTCAAGTGTACTTTTTTACTTAATGAAATTATAGTCGTCGTATTTTCTCGTATCACATGACACTCTAAGTAAAGTACTTAAAAACATAAATATTATACTACCATTATATTTAGATAAATAAGAACTCACATAGGTCATAAGTTAATTGACCGAGCAAGTTAAATGGACATTAATACACTCGGAAACAAAGTTCAAAATTCAAGAGTTACCACAACAATCACCTTACAGAATACTAGCATTTAGAAACACTACTATATAAACTTGCATACACACATTTACCCAAAGCCATATTATTGTAACCACAAATCAATTTCGAAAATTAAGGTTGGGTCTTTCAACAGGAAAACAGACCAAGTCGTGCGCCCTAGGAGCCGTCAACCCTGGCCTCTCACTCACATCAATATTCACTACATTTTCACCCTTCAAAACCTCACCATTGGAATCCACCACCTGAAAATCAAAGCACTGGATGATGGCTGCAAGCAGTGCTGGCACCTCCTGCATGGCTAAACTCACCCCAGGGCACATCCTCCTCCCTGAACCAAACGGCAAAAGTTGAAAGTGTTGACCCCTCACATCTATTTGCCCTTCTTCACCAACTTTCAAGAATCTCTCGGGACGAAATTCCAATGGGTTCTCCCAATAATTTGGGTCCCTTCCCATGGACCAAATATTCACGAAAAGTAGTGTGTTTTCTGGGATCACGTAATTTTCGATGCTACAACTTGTGACACATCTTCTAGTGACCATAGGCACTGGTGGGTGTAGACGAAATGTTTCCTTGACGATGGCTTGGAGGTAAGGCAAATTTGGACAATCAGATTCTTCAACGAGTTTGCCTTTTCCTACTACATTGTCGATCTCTTCTCGAGCTTTTTGTAGCAATAAGGGGTTCTTGATAAGTTCCACTAGTGCCCATTCTGTTGAAATGGCCTGGGTATCTGTCCCCGCAGTGAAGAAATCCTACAAGATGGTAAATTGTAATTATAACAAACATCCACCAATTAAATATTAATCACTCAATCTTCATATCTTTAATTTATTTCATTGCAAGAAAAAGACACTTATGTTGTGTATTAAAAAAATAATAATAATACCTAGTGTGCTTAAAGCAGTGATTAAAGCACTTGTATTAATGAATAGCACAACGTGATTAGTGATGATTTTAATTGATAACTAAAATATGATAGAAAGAAGGTAGGGCTTTAGGTTTACCATAATCAAGGCCTTAATGTGCACCCTGTTAATCTTGACCTCGGAGTTCTCATCCTGAACGCAATCAAGCAAAATATCAAGAAAGTCTCTAACCTGGCCCTGGCTTTCATCATTTCCCATCCCTTTCTTCCTCATTTCCTCGCGCTTACTAATAACCCTCTCCACAAGCGTATCAAACTTCTGAAACAAATCCTCAATCCTCTTCCCAAACCCCTGAAGGTCAAGCTTCTTGAAAACCCAAATAAAATCGGAAACATTAAACTCCCCGAAGATTTGCGTGACGCCGCGCACAACGTCCCTGGCCTCCTCCGCCTCCCCGAGCATCATCACCGAGATGACATTGTTCGTCAACTTAAGGAGCTCCTCGGTGACGTTAACGGACTCATGGGCCCGGGCCCGTTGGGCCAGGAGGCCGAGGAAGCGGCGCGTCTCGTTGTGGCGGAGGTGCTGGAACGAGGCGATGCTGCGGGAGCCGAGGAGCTGGTTCATGGAGAGTTTCTTGATGAAGCGCCAGTAGTCGCCGTAGGGGGCGAAGGCCAGGGAGGAGTCGTAGGTCAGGCGCTTCACGGCGGTGGTCTCGATGCGGCGGATGAAGGCCAGCTCGTTCGTGTGGAGGAGCTGTTTCGCCAGGTGCGGGGAGGAGGCCACCACGCAGGGGACGGAGCCGAAGCGGAGGGAGAAGATCGGGCCGTGCCGGAGAGAGAGCCGGTGGAGCGACTGGTGCAGGAGGGGCCCTAGCAGGTGCATGTGCCCCACCAGAGGCAGCCGCAGCGCCGGAGAGGGAGGCAGGTTCTGCTGCTTGCCGCGGAGGAGGAACACGTAGCACACTGCAGCTGAAACAAGGAAAGAGACAAAGAGGAGAGCCTCCATTTTCCTTGGATTTTCTTACTTTGGTTTAACAAATGACTCAACTCAGACACTTCTATTTAACACATTTTACATCCATACATAAATTCCAGATGTCAGATTTGTTATATTTTTATAACTCTCAGTAATGGCTTAGCGTGGCCTAGTACCGATTATTGCTTATCAGGTACACATGTTTCTATATCAGTAACTTCTATCGATAAAAAAAAGAGAAATTTTATGATACTTACATTTTGAGAAAGTATTCGTACAATTATAATTATAAATTTATTTTATATTTTATATTTTTGATAATTTATTTAAATAATATTTATAATATTTTATTTTTCAAGATGATGATGATCTTCTAACAAAGTTTTTTACAAATGTTTTCACTCTTGGATTTCAGAAAGAAAACTCTCCAATATGGTCACAAAGACTCCACAAAACGCTTTTTCTCAGTTTGATTATCAGTTCTCACTCAATGTCTGAAGTTTCTAAAAGTTCAATTTATTTATAAAAGTCTCAGACACAGATAATCGATTATTTTAAAGAATAATCGATTATTTTGTTCTTCAAGTTTTCTAGAAACCAACCAAGAACAATATAATCGATTATTTTGCTGAATAATCGATTATTCCAGAGAGTCATTTCTGGGATAATCGATTATTTTGGCAAATAATTGATTATTGCAGCAAGGCATCCCATTTTGCCTGTTGCTGGAATAATTGATTATATTTAACAATAATCAATTATTTTGAGTTGGTTCTTAAAAATTCGTTTTAAGTCTCAAAATAACTTTTTCAATCTTTTAACTCGTCATCATATACTCTCTACTCAGCTTAGATATAGATTTGCTCATGCACACAACATACACAACATAAAAACTTATGCGAACCAATTTATTTTCTAAACTCTATTACATAATATTTTCTTGACTTTGTCTGACTTTGTTTTTGTGTTTCCAAGTTGTTTGTTGTTAACTTATATCTTGTGATCATCAAAACTCTTTTAAGCTTCAAGCTTCTCTAAGCTCAACACGTTCTGCATGAGATTTTTGTGCGTGTTGAGGGAGTGCAGAACAGGCCGTTCCGGATTCGGTACAGGCCATTCTGGCCACTCCGGAATGTCTATAAATAGGGGTTGGGGGCCTTGAGGAAAATGTGAGTTTTTAGAGAGAAGTTTTAGAGAGAAGGTCTCTGGGTTTGTGAGCTCCTTTCTCTCCTAAATTTCTCTATAAGATTTCTTTTCTCCTCTAGACCACTAATGTCTGTTGTCTTTTTTTGAAATTCAGATTAGAAAGCTTCCTTTGGGAGGATTGAAGTTCTGAGTTAAGCTTCGAAAGGGAGTTATACTTCTTCTCAGTTATTAGCTATTTTGAGCCAATCTTCAGGTGAGGGAAGCTAGAATGTTTGTTATTTAAGTTGCATGTGAATTTAGAAACTCAATTGATGCATGAAAGTTGAGGATCCATGGATGGATCGGAGAATTCGCTCATTTTTTGAGGTTTTGGGAAAAATGGGGTTTTTTGGTGGAATTGATGCATCGGATGGATGCATGTAGATTTTGAGTTTGTTTTTATGTTGTATGGAGCCTATGCATTGTGTTTTGTGTCTGCATGTGGCTGGATGTGTTGGTTTGGATGAGATTTTTGAAACTCTCTAACTAGGATTAGGCCGGGCACAGGTTGAGCGCGCCAGGCGTTGAAGAGCTTAGAGCTTAAATTGATGCTTATGCATGTTTAAAGTCAAAGTTTTAGATCATGTATGTATGATATATGATGTATGGTGAGGTATGATTCATATGTATGCTTCTGATGATACGTATGAATGGTTGAATATGATATGACATGTGTATATATTCATATGGGTATGTTTATTGATCATAATGGTGGTAGATCATGTATGATGTATGATGCATTATTGCATGTGATGTCTTATGACATGTGTATGATTGTTGATCATGATGGTGGGCAAACCATGTATGATGTATGATGCATGATTGCATGTGATGCCTTATGGCATGAGTCTAGCCTAGGACTTGAGGAGAGGAAAAATATTTTTCGAACTGGAAGAGCTCACATAGAGTCTCTTGAGAGTGGTGCTTGGATAGGCCACTGATATATGAGAGTGGTGCTCAGGGAGGCCACTAGATTTGGGAGAGTGGTGCTCAGATAGGCCACTGGGTTGGGTGAGTCTCCTCTAAGTCCTTAGCTAGTGTTGGAGCGGGGTATGAGGTCGAGGGTTATTCCCTTAACCAAGTACTCGGGAAGGTGCGTGGATCCTTGCGGATAGTCGGTGGGCGAACTCCACAATTGACTTGGTTAATGCATGCCAAGGTCGTGGTAAGCCCGTACCCAGCTGTGCTATACCTGACGGTGGATCTG